GCGAACTCTGGAACTAAGGTTCCCCTAGTATGCCAACTCGGTCATGGATAAGGCCGAGTTTCTATCTCGTGAAGGACCTCCTTCCTCTTCTCGGGCGGACGCTGATCCGTCCGTCCCATCTCCTTCTCAACCCCATCACCAATATAGCAGGTCGGACAGACCAAGGATGGGGATTTTGATTAATGAACCGTCCGATCTGCCTCCTCGCAGTGCCCCTCCTACAGGAAATCAGGCGGCCACTGCCAAAGACAAGGGCAAAAGGCCGTTAATTCCTGAAGACTTTCCCTCAACTAGAGGCGGCCATAGCTCTAAGAGCCGCAGCTCGGCCGAGGCAGCAGATCTGGATAGGGTGCTGTCCTCTGAGTTTGGGAGAGCTCCTCACCAAGAGGAAGAGGAAGAAGTTGAGAAGGCGGCGGCCGAGGGTGAGGTGGCGGCCGAGGAGGTCGTCGCCAATATTGATAACTTTAAAGACCCGTACACCTGTCAGATATCGACTTGGCTCGCTACAAAGCTCGTCAAAAGTTATACGAGCTAACTAAGGAGGTAAAAACATATCTCTTTCCTCCTTCATGTCTCATTTTCGTCCATGTTAGAGTATTGGAAGGAACATACTTCTTCACATCATGCGGACGTATCTTTTCGTCCGTGTTAGTATGTTGAGAAAGCCCTCCTTTTTGAATTCTCACGGACGTAATTTTGCGTCCGTGTTGGCATGATGGAAGAGACCTCCTTCCCAGATCCACACGGACACTGATGCATTGCACTGCTTATATTTTGCTAACTTTTACATGCTCTTTTCTGCCGTCCACTCGAACCTCAAGGGCCAAACGAAAGCAGTTGTCCTCAGTTGCAAAAAATGACAAGGACGGGAAGGCGTCCAAGCAAAGGAAGACGGTCGCATCTAAGACCACTTCCACCATTGCGGCCAAGAATACGTCGCGGACTGCTTCTAAGCAGTCCAAAGGAGAACAACCCCGGCTGGGTGATAGCGGGGCCTCCAGGTCCATGGATCTGGCCGCCACGCCGGTCCATGATAAGTCCTAGAAATCCGATGATTGGGGTAAGTCGACCCCGGAAAAACCGACCGGGCCTAAAGTGACTTCGCCCGTCCAAAGAGTCCAAAAATCTGATTTGCTTGAGGCCTCTCAATCGGCCGGCGACCAGCCTGACCGGACAGGTGAGGAGGGTCACGAGCCTGCACCGCCTCCTCCATTCACCTTCAACCCTCTTACTTCTCTGAGCTTCTCAAACAGTCAGTTTAAATAACTTTGCACTCTCTTTCTTTTAAAGTCTTCTTACTTAAACTAAACTCTTTGCGCCCGTGTGCAGATATTACGGAGGAGATGAATATGAAGCTGCCCGGCCAGTCTCTTACTGGGGCAGACGGGAAGGCCATGAGGGAAGCCATGGCCAGGGCCGTTCCTGCTGAGCAGCGAGACAAGCTGCGGGGAAATCATGAGGGCATCCTAGGCCCAATGATCATTTGCAGTGCTGAGGTAGCTTTCTCGACTCTCTGCTTAGCCGATTTTTTCATTCTTATTTTGCTAACTCGTTTTCTCTTGTACGAAGCTTTTCCTGTGGCTGACTTCCTTCCTCGAATGGAAGGACAAAGAAAATGAGAAGCTGAAGCGTGCATGGGATAAGGTTCAAAAGGCTCAGGATACCGTTACTAGGGAAACGACTGTCCAGCGTCGGTACTTCGAGACCCAGATCAACGCGCTTTCCGATAAGGAAGTGCGGCAAGCTGAAGATCTGTAGAAACTGGGCAAGGCTCTTGAATAAGAGTCCGTGGCTAGGGACGTGACAGGGTGAAGTCGTATCTCTTAATCAAAAGTAAATACCTAAGTCCTCTAATTAAAGTAGATAGGGAAGTAGGGTCGATCTCCACAGGGAAACAAGTCTTTTTACTCCTAATTAATTATTATAATCAAATTATCTAAGTAACCAATATTTATAATTGAGTATGAAACTAAACTACAAAGAATAGGAATAGGGAGAAAACAATATATAAAAGGATCTAGGGCATAGGTTCACCAATAAATAATACTACATGGTAAAACATAGTAATCAATCATTGACATTGCATAAATAACACGATTAACAGGCTCTCGCAATTTATTAATCAACATAGATCTAACAGGCTCTCGCAATTTAGTAGATCTAAGTTCTTATTGAAAATCGCCTTTAATATCAAATTAACATCTGCTCAATTCATCAATTTAATATTGCTATACTTTTACAAGCCGCAATTGTAAAACGTTAAAACAATTCAATAAGAAATTATCATGCAATACCAACAATCAATAATAGTCAATCATCAATGCATCAATTAACCAGATTGTAAAGGGCTTTCGCTACGTATTACAGTCACACAATTAACTTATCGGTATTAAATCTCATCTCTCGAATCTCGACTAAATCATTTATAAATTAACCTGTCTATTGAAACTAGACCTAAACATCAATTCTCATCTCTCGCATCTTGAATCAATATTGTCAAACTCATGCATAAAAGATAGGCCTAATCTAGTCACAGAGCATTCAATCAATCAATAGGAAATTATCTAGCATTGATAATTAACAACAATAAATTACCCCTTCATATTATTTATTAGATCCCCATAAACTCTAGAAATAAAACTACTCACACATATTAAAAACTAGACAAATCAAAGCAATAAAATAAGACATGATTAAAGGAATAGAATAAATAACTAAGATTAAGAGAAGTAGAATTAAGAACAAAGGTTTAGAGAGAGAATTCTAAGAGAATAATTAAGAGATTAAAGAAAGTAAAGAGGAGAAGAAGAAGAGATCCTAAAATTGTATTACGGAGGAGTATTTATACTCCGTACAAAATCCTAAACTAAAACAAATTAAAACGACGTTAATCGTCTACTAAGAAATACACGCGCCCGATCGGGCGCGCCTTTTTTATCATAGTACAAATCTCACGCCCGGCCGGGCGCGTCACTGGGCGCCAGACTAAGCTTCTCCTGCCCGGCCGAGCGCGCCACCGGGCGCCAGCCTCTTTGGCCGGGCGGCTCATTTGGGCCACTTTTTGGATTTCGATTGGGCTCCAATTCTTCGGGCCAATCTGTGTTTCCTCTTTGGGTCTTGAATACTCGGTCTAAATGCCCCGGTATCACCTATACCGAGCCCTTAATCATCGGTTCGATGGCTCTAACCAGCCGTGGGTTATAAACTCTGGTCGTGCTTCTCCAATGTTCGTGATTGCTCCAAAATATCTCGGAAAAATACTCCAAAAGCATAAATCCCTGCAAAAGTCAACCAAATCTACAAAAACACTAGAAAACACAAATTAGTAATAAAAGTGGCTCTAAAGAGCCAAAAACACTACTAATTACGACCAAGGGACGGGGGTAAAATACTATATAAAATAGACACATCAGGACGCCATGAGACAAGAGAGAGATCAGGCTATCCTGGACGCCCAGCGCTGGAAGGAAGGGTTTGAGGCCTCTGAAAAGCTTAAGAGCGATGCGGCCTTAGCCCAAAAGAACTTGAAGGAGGCCTTGGATGAGGCGGACGCTCACCAGGCCGAGGTAGAAACTTTAAAGAAGTCCGTTGAGGACTTAACCCAACAGCTGAAGGCACCTCGGCCCCCTAGCGCGGAAGAGGTGGTCCGTATCGAGCAAAGTGCTGAGGAGATTTTGAAGAGCCACTTCTTCGAGGCGTTCGAGCTCATGGTGGACGAGGGTGAGGCAGCCTTTTATCAGGGAAGATGCTAAGAAGGCCTGGCAGCCTTCTCCTGAGCTAGACGTTACGCCAACTACCTCAGAAGATGAGGAAAATGAAGAGGTGGCGGACGGAGCTGAAGGCGAGGAGGAAAGCAAAGAAACACCTGCTGATGATGCGTCCCTTCCTGCCTTCGAAGAGCCCGTCCAAGGCCAAGACCCAGCTACCTAGAGCCTAGGCCGTCCCATGATTTCACCTTTTCATTTTTCTGCCTTTGTTAAACAATTTTTTATTTTATTTAAATGCCGCCTTTTTCGAGCAGTTTTTGTAAGATATTTTTCCGCCCTTTGAGCGGTTTTTAATTAATGCAAGATTTTCTTTTCATCTATTTCGTACTTAGAAAAATTTTACATACTTTTGCACTTTTGCATGTTTTTGCGTTTTCGTACGATGGGGGGGGATTCCCCTTTATTCGGCGTTGGTCTAGTCCATATTTTGAATGGTTTGATTGACTTGGTAGTCTTTATGCCTTAAAGGGTATGACTACTACCAAGTTAATTAAATCATAGTGATGATTGCCCTTGGACTAGGTGAAACACCGAATCAACTGATTATGCGGCCGTTTAATTGGCTTTGTGTGAGTCGTCTGTTGAAACTATCGCTCGGACATTCTCAAGAAATTTCAAGTATTATCTCAACTTAAAATTTCTAAGTTTGGTTGGGCTAGGATTCCTAGGTATGCCCTTGCCCCATTAAAGGGGGGTAATTGCGTTGGGCTAATTTGGTATACCTTGCCTTTACCATCCGTCCATGTAAGGGACGGACGTATATCTGTGACTTAAAGTCAGTTTTTCTTCTTCTTTTACTTTGGATTGCCCTAGCGACCGGGTTTCTATGTTGCAAGCAATCTCGTAACCTTTCTCACTTCATCAATCTTGTTTAGCCATTATAGGTCAGGTTGCTCTGTTACAAGCAACCTAGTTACAGGTTTCACTCGGCATTTCAGCTTAAACCATGAAAGTGCAAATAAGCATAAGTAGAATACCAAAATAAGATAACAATGTTTGACTTTTCATTAATTTGTCAAAATTACATTGTTGTGGTCGTACGGCTCTGATTACATTGCTCGGTCGATAGACCTAGCTGTATATACAAATTTTTGGCTAAATACTAAGAAAAGACTTAAACATAATATTTTTTTTAGATTATTAGTGTTCCACATTCGTGGGATCTGGCGGCCATCTGGCTTCAAGACGGTACGTGCCATCTCTAACTTCTTCCCTGATTCAGTACGGCCCTTCCTAGTTTGGGGTTAATTTTCTATTCTCATTGGCTCGGCCAACAGCTTCCATTTTTCTGAGCACAAGATCCCCTATCTTCAGCGGATGCTTAGACACTCGGTGATTATATGCCCTTGTCATCCTTACACGATAAATTTTGTGTCTGAGCGCCGCATTGCCCCTAGCCTCTGGAAGAAAGTCCAGGGCGGTATTCATGGTCTCCCAATTGGCTGACTCATCATATAACATTACCCGCAGAGTGGGCTCGTACAACTCAATTGGGAGAACTGCTTCGATCCCATAGACCAAAAAGAATGGAGTTTCTCCTGTGCAACTTTTTGTTGTTGTCCGTATGGACCATAATACGTTAACCAACTCATCAGCCCATAGGCCGCCCGCTTTTTCAAGCTTGCGCTTGATTCCATTTGAGATCAACTTGTTGTGGGCCTCTACTTGGCCATTAGCTTGTGGTCGGCCGACTAAAGCAAAACAATGAGTTATGCCCTGGTCTCCTAACCATTCCTTGAGCTGGCGCATTTCAAACTGAGGTCCATTGTCGAACACCATTGACTGAGGTACTCTGTAACGAGTAATTATACTCTTCCATATGAAGGCTGACTTATCCGCCCACTTAATGCCCCGGACGGCCTCGGCTTTGACCCATTTAGTGAAATAGTCCACGGCTACCAGCACATAACGTCTTTAGCCGGACGCTGGAGTGTACGGCCCTAAAATGTCCAAGCTCCATTTTTCAAAGGGGAGGGGACTGCTTATGGCCGAAAATCTGTTAGCCAGCCGATGGATTAAGGTCGCGAACTTCTGGCACTTGTCACACTTTTTCACCATTTGCATGGCATCTAACTTCAAGCTTGGCCAGTAGTACCCCAAATGGGTGGCTTTTTCTGCCAAAGCTCGTCCTCCAATATGGGAACCACAGTGCCCCTGATGGAGGTCATCCAACACATCATGCCCTCTCTCTGGGTGATACACTTAAGATAGGGCTTCACAAAAGCATTCTTGAATAATTCCCCGTTCTTCATCTCGAACCGGGCTGCTCTCCTCTTCATCAGCCAACTCTTTTTAGGATCGTCCGGAAGAATTCCATTCCTCAAGTAGGAAATAATTCCGTCCATCCAGGTTGAACTTCTATCTATGATTTGAAAAGGATCGGCATCAATACTTAGTTTCTCTTTTACTTCCCAAAATACAGATCTAGGAGTGTCACATGATGTCGAGGAAGCTAACTTGGAGAGCGCGTCCGCTTGATGATTTTCTGAACGAGGAACCTGCCGCAAAGAAAAATATTCTAGGCCCTCAGCCTCTTCCTTAACCATCTGCATGTATTTCATCATGGTCGGCTCCCTTGCTTCGAATTCACCATTGACTTGGCAGACTATTAGCCGGGAGTCTGAGCAAACTTCATTTTTGGTTGCCCAGGCCGCCTTACACATTCTTAGGCCCACTTCATTGTTTGAAGCTTGGAACTGAAATCTCATTGCGTACTCAAAATTATCTCCTTCACGAGACTAACATATGATACCAGCGCCACATCCGGTAGCTGTTGCGCTACCATCTACGAACACTTTCCAGATCTGGTCTCCGGCCGGCTGAAGATCAGGCCGAGTCATCTCAGCCAAAAAATTCGCAAAGGCTTGCCTCTTGATTGCTTTTCTTGGCTTGAACGTAATGTCAAAGCCTCTCAGTTCCAAGGCCCACTTAAGCATACGGCCACTGGCCTCTAAGGTTGTAAATGGCTTCTTCAGAGGTTGGTATGTGTAGACCACAATTGAATGTGCCAAGAAATACGACCGCTGCTTCTTTGATGCCATATACAATGCTAGGCCAAATTTTTCAACAGGGGGGTACTTAAGCTCGGCGTTGTGAAGTACATGACTGATAAAATAGACTGGGATCTGGTGGTTGTTCCTTTCAGTAAGCAAGACGGCACTTAGAGAGTGTTCAGAGATGGCGAGATATATGAATAACTTCTCATTCTTGAGTGGACTAACGAGCCGAGGCATTGTATGTAGATGGCTTTTTAGCTGTACGAACGCTTCCTTGGCCTCTTCTGTCCACTCGAACATAGCTTTCTTCTTGATGGTTTGAAAGAAATAACGGCACTTATCCCCTGACCTTGACAGAAATATACCAAGTGCTGCTAAAAAGCCGGTCAGCCTTTGCACCTCTTTGATCGTTCTTGGTGACTTCATGTCCAGGAGGGATTTAATTTTTTCAGGGTTGGCCTCAATTCCACGTTGATCAATTAAAAATCCAAGATATTTACCGGACTCAACAACAAAGACACACTTCTTTGGATTTAACATCATCTTATGCCGCCTGAGTTCGGTAAAAGTTTCTCGCAGATCCTTCAAATGGTCGGCCGGCTCTTTTGACTTGACAATCATGTCATCGATGTACGCCTCCATATTCCGGCCAAGCTGATCTCTAAAGACTGTATTAACAAGTCGCTGAAAGGTAGCAAGGGCATTCTAGAGGCCGAATGACATTACTTTGTAACAGTATAAACCCCTGCTCTGTCACGAACGCTGTTTTCTCTTGATCTTCTTCCCCCAGGGGAATTTGATGGAATTCGGAGTATGCGTCCATGAAACTCATCAGGGCATGCCCGACCGTTGAATTAACCAAGCGGTCAATTTTGGGCAAGGGAAAGTTATCCTTAGGGAATACCTTGTTTAGATCTATGTAATCCACACACATTCTCCAAGTTCCATTCGGCATCTTCACGAGAACTACATTAGCTACCCAGTCTGGGTAATAACATTGCCAAATGAAACCGGCGTCCAGCAGCTTCTTCACCTCAGCCGCGGTTGCCTGATTCCTTTCCTCTCCATGATTTCTTTTCTTCTGAAGGACAGGTTTTATCAATGGATTCACGGCCATCTTATGCACGACCAGGTCAGGACTTATTCCTGGCATCTCACCAACTTCGAATGCAAATACATCTTTGAATTCTTACAGCAGCTGAACTAACTCATCCCCAAGCATACCCAAAGCTATAGTGCCTACACTAACCGTCCGACCTGGTTGATCGGGGTCAAGCACTATATCTTGGTGACTATCGGCCGGCTGGGGCCTTAACTCTACTGGCCGGCCGACAGTAATTAGCTGCTAGGCTTGCTCTATCTTGGCCTCCTTGCGCTTCTGGCCGACCTGGTATGCTGGGAGTGAGGTTCCTTCTTCTTTTGGCTCGGACGATTTTGGTCCGCGTGTAGTAGGCTTAACAGCCAACTGATTACATTCCTTAGCCATTTTCTGACTTCCTTGGATCGTTCCAATTTTACCATCCGTCCTCTCGAACTTTAGCAACATTAGATGAGGTACAATGACTGCCTTAGCTGCATTCAGCGTGGGACGGCTGAGTATAACGTTATATCCAGTCAGCTCTTTTACCACAAGGAAGCGGACAACCATATCTCTTCCTTCCCCTTTTTTCCCAAAGCGGACGGGTAGGTCTATCCGCCCAACTAGGTGAATAACATTCCCCCCAAATCCTACCAACGGGCGAATGATGTCTTGAAGAGCATCCTCTGGGAAGCTTAGATTCCTCAGGGCGGCCAGGCTGATGATGTCGGCCGAGCTACCCATATCAATCAATATTCGTCCGACCTTCAAGTTGGCTATCTTCATAATGAATACCATGGGATCATTGTGCAAGGCTTTGACCTCCCCCCTGTTAGCCTCACTGATGGTTACTTCAGGAAAAGGGTTCTGCCTTTACTACATCCATTTGCATCACCTTTCCCAAGTTCCAGGCGTCCTACTTGATCCCTTTCATGGTGGGGCCGCCCGAGGCGAAACCTCCTGATATCACGGCCACAAATCCTGAATCAGTGATATTCCCATCATCTTCCTTGTTTTTTTTCTTATCATTTTTCTATTTCTTCTCGGACGTGTTGTCTGTCAGTGTGTATGTGAACTTGAACTTCATCACATAAGAGTCTAGCATGCCCTTCTCGGCTAGCTTGTCCAACAATCTCTTTAAATTGATGCAATCGTTCGTGTCATGTCCCACATCCTTATGGTAATGACAGTACTTGTTCTTGTTCCTGTACTGAGCCGAGCCTCTCAGCGGCTGGGGCTTTTAAAACTCGAACTTGTCTTTGATTTCCATCAGGATGGAGTAACAGTTGAACTCATAATGGGGCTCGTTGACAGGCTATAGTCGTATCACCTAATCAAAAGTAATTCCTAAATCCTCTAACTAGTGTAGGTAGGGAAGTAGGGTCGAATCCACAGAGAAACAAGTCTTTCTATTCCTAATTAATTAAAATAATCTAGATTATAAAGTAACCAAAATATTATAATCGAAGGAAACTAAACTCGCTTAACGAAAAAGTATTTATACTAAGCAAGAATCCTTCACGTCTCTAGAGGTAACCGATTTGTTGTGACGATCTTCCGCAAGCTAGAGAATACCGCCTGAAGGCTGCTACGCCTGTAACTGCCTCCAATTTCCGTTGTGATAGTCTTCAAAAAGATCACAGCTTGTTGATCCTTAATGCTGCTATGCCAGTACGTCGGCGCTTTACTGCTTGTGAACCAGTATGTCGATGCTTTTGCTGTGATGGCAATCCTCTTTTCTTTGGGAATAGTTGCCAACACAACTCTTGTATGGTGTATGACAATCCTATTCAGGGAATGTTTTTAATGCTTCATAACAATCCATCCTTGGAAATGTTGCAACGATGAAGCGACAATTCGTATCTCGGAAAATTTGCTAAAATCCATTTTTGGGAAAAGTTGCCAATGTTTCGTAACAATCTGTCATAAGAACTTTGCTACGATTGACAATCCACATCTTGGAATATAACTCTTGAAAGAAATCCACCTTGGAAATTTGCCAACGCTATGTGACAATCCTTTTAGGAAAATATTTCCAGAATTAACAATCTGCGTCTTGGAAAATTTGCAAAAAAGAGTCGACCGACAATCCACTTCGAGAAAATTAGTCACTTACTGAAATGAATGACAATCCACGTTGAGGAACCTTTGCCGAAATTTATGATAAATAGAAACCTATGACAATCCCTTGGGAAATTTTGCCATAGGGAACTGGGTGCATGACAATCCAATCTCGGAAAACTTGCCAGCGATGACAATCCGAACTTGGAAAAAATTGCCAAACAGAGAAGGAGCACGACAATCCACGCTTGGAAACTTTGTCAGAGATGACAATCCAATCTTCGAAAAATTGTCGTTGAAGAAGATGCACGACAATCCATTTTTTGGAAATATTGTCAGTTGGAGATGACAATCCAATTTTTGGAAAAATTGTCGTTTAAGAAGAATGTGCGACAATCCATATTTGGAAATATTGTCGTTTAAGAAGAATGCGCGACAATCCATATTTGGAAATATTGTCGTTTAAGTGCTTTCTTTTAAACCGATACGTTGGTGCTTGTAATGAGCTAGTGTTTTAGGCGCTTAAGCTAAGTTAGACGATTTTTTTTCAAGTCAATCACTTACTACGATTGTAATCGAGCCGACTACTAATCATGTCAATTGCTTATAGGGGATAACTGGCGTACCAAGGAACCCGAAATTGT